TTTAGAATAACGCACTGTCATCCGCGATTTGGCTCTTATTGCCTATCTTATATATGTTAAATTTATATTTATATATTACAGAGCCTAGTTAAACTCTTAAAAAATATATCTTCTCAAAAATTATGTTTATAGCCAAAATAATTCTTTGCAAAAATTAATCATTATCAAAAATATTTTCTCAAAATTATATTTATAAATTATATTTTATTTTTGTTAATAATACTAGAAAAAATTAAAATATTAGCATCAAAAAGTAGTGAAATCAAAAAAATTGCGCTAAATAATTATATTGATAATACGAGAAAAAAGGTTAAAATATTAGCATCAAAAAGTAGTCAAATCAAAAAGTTGCACTAAGTAAGTGACAACATAATATATAATATTTAGATAAATTTCTTATAATGATACAAATGTATAATTATTGCTTTATTTAAAACGTTTATAATATATACAATAACAAAATAAATTCAGTAAAATATATATATATATATATTTATTCATCTTTATATTTAAATAACATGAATAATTATGTAATTAATTTAAACTGGAATGTATATACATTGTAAAGTTATTATATATTTTTATAAAATATTTAGATAAATAGATATATATAAAAATAAATTATTTATCTCTAAATAATTATTTAATTCAAATATATTTAAACGTATATTCAAAAAAGGTAATATAAGGCACAAAGAATTAAATTTAGGAAATTAAAAAAATTTAAAGTTAAATAAAAATTTTTAATTTAAATTAAAAAAAAAAAAGTAAAAATAAAAGTAAAAAAAATGTAATGTACAAAAAATACTTAGCGCTGTTTTTGTATTATAGCCCTTTGACTACGAAACGTCCTTAAAAATGATTAGTAACGAAATGTGTATATACAGAATATATCACACACAGAAGTCGCATCCTATCTTTGGAGAGTGAAATGATGAAGTCAAAATAAGTCGAAATTAAAGAATCATGAAATTATATTTGAATCTTTTTTATAAAAAAATTCATAATGAAAATAATGCGCTTTAAACATCTATCTCGAAACTTTGATTGCGATCAGGAAAACATTGCAAATGCTTTAAAACATGTATCAGAATAAAGAAATTTTTATTCATTTATATTTTGATTGATCAATTAAACACTTTGAAATGCTCCATATACATTAATTAATATATGTATACATCAGGGTTGGGAAAGTTACTTTGTAAAAGTAACTAGTTACAGTTACAGTTATTTCATTGAAAAAATAACTAGTTACAGTTACAAGTACCGATTTTAAAAAATAACTCGTTACAGTTACAGTTACTCTAAAAGTAACGAGTCGTTACTTTTCAGTTATACGAAGAGAGTCGTTTAGTTCTAAATAATATATGATATCCTAAATGCCATTAGAAGGAATTTTGAAGGAAACAAGGTTATATTTTATAATAATTATGGAAATAAATGTGACGTGGAAAATTTGTGGAAGAGAATAAATTTAGAAGTGGGAAATTGACAATATATATTGAAGCAGCATGTATTACATTCCTTTAATCAAAAAATAATTAGTTGTACAAATAAAAATATCTCTTACTTTTAATTGAATTGAATTCCCTAATTTCTTATTTAAAATTGATACAATTTTTAAAATAACGATAAAATAATCTTCCATTACCTTTATTGATAACGCAAGAAATTAGAGGTACATAAATTAATAATATAGCTTGATCGTCCAAACACGAGATAAAAATCGGTCTTTTAAATTTTTCAACTATATCATCTCGTTTGAAAAACCTGAAATAATGTCTCTTTCATGTCTGAGACCCACAAATCGGAGCAAAATCCATGCACTTCCGTCCGACTACGTGCAAAGATCAGAGTTACGATGGTACCGGACAAAAGAGGACATTTCGGTGGGAAAGCTAGCGTATGAAGTTTCTTCTTGCCGCGGACTTTTTACAGTATTCCGTTTTCCGCATGCGGCGCCGTATGGTTTAAGCTTTGATGCTGCGCGAAGGAAAGTAAATGCGATCTTCTCGAGCGCGAGAGAGAGGCTATAAAAGGGCTTCGGCGGGAAAACTCGCTGCGTCGAAACGAATTTTCTCCGTCGCGTTCTTTCCGCTCAAGTTTCTTGCCGCGTTACCGCCGTGCCGTTAACGTTTCCGGTCTTGCGGAAAAATCTAAGACGATCGCTTTCGCCGCAGCTTTATTATCCGCGATAACGGATTACAAGTTACCGCTCTTGCGAGAGCTTGCTTACGGCGCTTTCGCTCATTCTTCGGTATCGAACGCGATTTTATTCGCGAAACAATGCGGTGGAAATCGTAATGTGAACTTAATGCAGATGTAAGGATTTAAAGAGAATTTCTTTCATTTAATTAAAAGATAATAGGCTTGAAATTCGACAAAGAATTTGGTTCCAACGCACTTTCGCGGATTCTAAGGAATCAATTTTTTTAAATCAGTATTTCTCAATATTAATAGTAGTATTATTAACATTATTTTTGGAGACGTGGAACTCCAATTTAATTATAATTTCTTATTTAAAATTGTGCTATAATTTTAACAATTTTTTAAATAATAATATGTTTCATTACTTTATTGACAAGAGGCAAAAGCTATAATATAGTTTAATCATACAAACACGAGAAACAAATTGATTTTTAAATCCTTCCACTATCATCTCATTTTAAAAAATCTGAAATAATGTCTCTTCTATGACTGAGACACATTTTGATGATACGGAGATAATGTATTAAAAAAATCGGATTTTACATGAAAGATGAATATTGAAAAATGTATTGTTAATTAAAAGAAATTCTCTTCGCAAAATATAATTTTCTGCATTATTTTTATAAATATGTCTCTATATTCCATAAAAATCATGGCACTTCAAAAACATTTATGATAAAGGAGGATATTCTGGTTCAGCATCAATCATTTATTCCTAAACCCTGGCGAAAATTTAGGAAAATCCCATTCGCGAAGGAAAGGATAGACTCGGGAAATACCTTGTTTATTCTCCGATCGAGGGGAACTTTCGGCCCAAGGCGTCACATCGATCTTTCCTTTTATTCTGACCACGGCCCACCCTCTTTTTTTACCCTCGCAACACCTTTAGTCCGCCGATTGCCCGCTTTTATATCGCCGCTCTTATATACCGGAAAGCTTATTTATTTCCTGCCGTTCGGACTCGTATATAGTTTCGTATTCGCGAGAACGTGGACGCGGAAAAATAGGACAATGGAAACGGATGATTTGGGAGTGGCGGAAGAGAAAGGTCAACTTTGATTAAAGTCGTTCTCCCTTTCTCTTTCTCGTCTCTCCGCTCGTGGGATTTTGGCAATATTTCCGGAGAAAAACGCCAACCGCACATATCTGTCGTCCCCTTTGGATTCTCCTCCGGACCATTTGCGGTCGTCGAGTAATATGAAAGTTATATGATTTTGCAATACCTTTACTTCGTGAACGAAGAAGTAGATTGAATGGAAAATAATTTGCTTTTTGCGAGAAAGAGCTTCTCCCGATCTCATATATGTACTTTATATGAATAGATATTAAATTTTATCGGACTGTGGGGGCAAAAAGACTTGAAGAAAGCTGAACCATATCCAACCTTATTTTTTAATATTTTCAAATTGGTGTAATTAAAGAAAAATGAGCGAAAAATATAAAAGAATGTCTATGGACCGCAAAAAATTGATTGTTACCTAAGAAATTCATTTCATTAGAAAATATAAAAAACTTTTTGATATTAATTTATCTCAAATTATCTATGCGAATTTAAAAATTGGAAATTTCTTTTAATACTTTATCAATAATAATTATTTCTAATATTCGTTATATCATAAAAATGTAACATATATCTCCCAAAGAGCTGTCTTTTAAAAACAAACAACTTAAAGCATTCTCGAGCAGATTCTTATCCTAATAACATAGTAAAATGAAAGTTGTCCAATAGGGAAGGATAATTCCCTTTAATGAAATTGAAATTCGGGGGATTCGCAGCTGTCGCCGCTCATCATCATTTACATCAGCTTTTAGATTTAATATACATGAAAGGATCGAAGGGCGCAAATAGAATGTCAGAATGATTGCTGACGACTCGTTCTCGCGTCATTCACAGTTTTACCTTGTTCGTGAGGGAAGTAAGACAATCGGCCGAATGTAATTTCTCTATAGAGTCGTCGACAAACTCTGCTGACACGCGACGTTTTCCTCGTCGCGTGACACGGCGATTTAGTAGTTCTCGTATCCTAATTAAGAACTTCATTTCGCGCGCGATTCTTATTCCCGATAGAGTCCAACGAGATCGACATTCTCGAGTTCCAATTGGAAACTAGGGGATTGATACGCAGCCGTTGTGAACACAAGGTGGAAGAGACATCAATTTCAAGTTAAGTGATCGACAGAGAGATGCTAACTTTTATACATGACATTTTTTGCGTTAAAATTAGAGTGAAATAATTAATCATTTAATGTACAATTAATAATGATATGTATTATTAATTAATTACATAGATTATCTTTTTTTCGAGGACTTTGAAAAATTCCTTTTTAATTAAAATTTGAAAGATGTGTTCTTGAAAGTTAATCTGAAAAGTTTTCTGTTATATTAAACTTGACAGCTGCGACTCGCTACTTTCTCTCTAAGCATGATTTTCCAAATATTTAGAAATTCCACGGTAGATTGTAGTGCGAGCAGATATTAATATAATTCGAAAACTAACATTTATACATTCTAATGCACAGAAATATATGATACATATGATTCAAGTTAATCCTTAACGTTTCATTAAGTAATAGCCACGAGGGGTTTGAGATTAAATATGTTCATTCCTGACTTCTACGGTCGATTTGCCAGCACCTTTCTCACGCATCGCCGTAATTAAAATCAATACTGTAATCGTACTTACCTAAGATGATACATATATCTTGAAAATGGAACATCGGGCAGATGTATGTAAGACAGGATAGTGTCGCAAGGATGTTCATGAAATAATTACATATACTCGCACGTTGCGTGTGTGTATGTATATATGTATATATTTATAATCGCGGTCATCATAAAAGTACAATAATAGCTTTATATCAAATCACGAGGAGAAAGTCAATATTCACACGAGTAGACGTGGGCGATGGCTTTCAAGAATATCGATTCACTGCGGATCGTTGCGTATGGTTTTCTCTCTTCTTCTTTCTTGTCCACTCATTTGTTTCTGTTTTTCTTTTTTTTTTATAAAACGATTTTTCTCCTCTCACGCGATCCCAAAGAAATGGGGGGAAAAGAACAGATATCAGTGAAAATTAAAAAAGTAGTAAGAATAACGCGGAGAAAGTGGGATATTAAACAAAACATCGATATAGACAATCAAATAATAACAATAAACAGTTTACAAAACGCAATAGCTGTGTCGACGGTATGTGTTGTGTCGGTTTGGGAGGTACTGGAATACGACGACTGACGTCACAGACGCGTCTGATAACTAGGCGATCGCAGTAGCAAACGAGAGTAACAGTCTGTTGGTTCCTCCGTGTATGCGAATTGCGTCGATTAGTCGAGACTCAAAGTTGGATTCGTCGTCTCGCTATCGTTTCTTTCGCCTCCCCCTCCTGATCCTTGTGCGATTACCACCTTTTGTTCGCTCGCTTGTTACTATTATCATTTGTACAAATATATAACAATATCCATTCATAATTCTCACGATTAACGATTACGATTACGTGGTCCGTGGTTCAGCCTAATGTACGGAGGCCACTTTTATATCCCCTTTCACCCCTTAACGGAACGTCGGTGGTAGCTTTCCGAAGAGAGGCGAAGAAAGAGACGTGCCTTCGTTTCTTGAATAACTCGACGACGGTCGTCGATTGCGTCAAGAAGAATGTTGCGCGAAGAAAAAAAAAATGTCAATCGATATAATTCAAAGATGCTATTGAATGAACTAGATTGCTTTCGACTCTTGTACCGCGCAACACTTGTAACTTGTCCGTCGTTCTGTTTGTTCGTGGATGCACGCGACGACGACGATGATCGACGCGAAAATCAACGAAGATTCGGCGTTACTTCGTGGACAGAAAGCGTCGGAGGGGGAACGCGAAAGGGTGTGGGATCAAGGGTGTCACTAATCAGGCACTTCATAATGTCCTTCACCCTTTTTTCTGCGTGTTCGGAATCACCGTCCGTATCGAAAGTAACTTGGTGGTATGTGTGATGACGGCATCGGCGACGCACTCGACAACGATGATAGGCAAAAAAGTATATCTCTAGCTAAACACACACATCCCTCATACATTCGCATGTTCATGCAACCGCACCACGGCCAGATAAACTACAATCACACTCTCTTTCACTCACTTTCTCTCTCTTTTGCTCTCTTCCTCTTTCGCTGTTCATACTCTACGGAGTTCTACTATCACGTTTTCGACGAATCATCCTTTGTTTGCTCCTCCTCCTCTTGTTTCTCCTTGTACTTCTCCCTTTTCGTTACGTATTTACCACCGTTTTCCCATTTTCATCATTACACATATGTAGGCTATCTCTGGACCTCGCTGACGCGAAAGCACGTAACTTCTGACTCGCGAACTGATCACAATCGAGAATCGTTGATCTCTGTGCGACTCGTCGACAAGGGGTCAATAGCTACGTGGCATTTAACGAAGTCTAAGTCATTAGTTCTGTTGCGTCGTCGATGTCCACATCTTCGGACGGTTCCACTTTCACAGCGAGCTGCGTATATCCCATATTGGTTTCCCTTCTGCCGGACCAGGCCTGCGAATAAAATGATGACGCATGCGCATTTATTTTCCCTTGTCATTGAATCATTTATTTCTTGAAAATTACATAAATTATACTTTTGAAAACTATAAATTCAACTTGAATAATACAGGGTGTCCCGTAACTAACGGACCATCGATTAAGGGCGGATTCTCTGGCCAATTTGGAGACGATTTTTCCTTAGCAAAAATGTTGAAAAGTCAATAATTTTCAAATTTATAAGCAATTAAAAAAATAGGTTTTTGAAAACTAAACGTTTTGGAGTTAAAAGTGTAACATAATTACATTCTTCAGTTAATTTCAGGTAGAGTTTACTATAATACAATTTTAATTTGAGGCTTAGTTATAAAAATACATAATGACAAATATTGGAAAGTTGTAAAAAATGATGACCTTTTTCGACATTTTCGCTGAGGAAAAATCGTTCCCAAATTGACCAAAGAATCCATTTGTAATCGTTGGTCTGTTAGTTACCGGACACCTGTATAAATTTAAATATAATATTGATATAAATTAATGCAATTTTTTTAAAGAAATTTCTTAAATACAAACAAATTAAACATCAGATTGTTTAACTTGAATTAGATGCATACCTGAAGAGCGACAAATATCATTGCAAATAACGCAATTGACGCTAAGCAAATAGCGACCGCCATAGTTGTGGCTGCTGTTACGGCAAATGAAGCCGAGTCGTTTCTACTTGATTTGTCGTAACTGTCAGAATATGTCTCAGAAATAGCCGTGCCAGCAGAGAATTCTGTTCCCGGTACTCTTCTTTTACCAGCTGGCGAGCTGTTCCTGCAGCCACCTACACATATTAAAAATACACTATTCAGTAATTATATGATGGTATTTATAACAATGTAGACTATAATATAACAACATCATATCGATAATATTAGAAATTAACTAAAATAAGAAGTATAAATTAAAAAAAAATTATTTTAATCCAATAAGCGCGTTGATGATTGTATAACATCTTTTATAACATCTGTTATAACATCTATTAATGGTAGATCAATTATTCGTCTATCAATATGTATAATTATTTATCTACGCAAACTTTACGTGTAATACTAACTTGTCAAATCATGAGCATTACCAGTTTCTGGATCACAGAGACAACATTCTTCAGCTTGAGGCCCCTTTTCGTTGCCCGTACAACAAGGCACGCACTGGTTGTTCAATTTCAGCAAATGCAGCGGCGGCGAACATGCGGTGCAGCTGAATTTGCCAGGGCCAGCGCATCTTCGGCAGTCTGAATGGCAACTCTTACAGAGCTGCGTTAAAGAATCATAGTATTGCGCTCCTAGACACGCCATGCACAGTCCGCCTTCCAACATGGACTGAACCGGACAGGAAGTGCACTCTAGTGGACCTTCTCCTGGAACGAATATTTTCCCGTTGAGAATTAATTAGATTTAATTAAGCCAATTTGCTTACCCTTGCACGTGCGGCAATAATGATGACACTTCTGACAACCAAAATTGGATTTAAAGAAGCCTTCCGGACATTCGGGATGACATTCGCCGGCTGCTAATTGCCAGCCTCTCGGACACGTGACGCACTGATCCCTCCTAGGTCCCAAGCACGTTTTACACGACAAGTAACACTTGGCGCATTGACCTCTGTCGCTGTAATAACTGAAATCAAAAAGAAAAAGAATCCGGAGCATATCAATGCTGTTCTACCATCAATCTATTCAATAATAATTCATAATAAAAAATTATTCCGCTTTACCCTGACGCGCAGGACGATCTGCATTCTCCGCTCTGCAGTTGCAGGCCATCTTGACACGCCGTGCAGTTCAGACGAGAAACGCAACTCTTGCAGGTGTGCAGACAAGGGACGCAAATTGGTCGCGAAGGTTGTACCACGGAATAATACGCGTCGTCGCACTGCGATACGCAGCGCTTGTCTTGAAGTAGCAACGGATTCGGGCAGGATATGCAATGATCTTCCGTGGGGCCGGCGCAGGTCTCGCAGGACGAGTGACAGAGCTTACACTGACCATTCTCGTAGTACTGACCCGAGTTGCAGTTGCTGCGACTCTCGGGCGCGCACAGCCCTTTCTTGTTCAAACTCCAGCCCTCGATGCAGCTGGTGCAACTTAGCGTGGCACAGGTCGCGCAACCGGGCGGACATGCGACACACTCGCGCCGTTTTTTGTCGGGGCTATAACCCGTTGGACACGAAGTGCGACACGTGCCTGTAACATTCGAAATACAAAAATCATATATATAAATATATAGAACAAATTGTGAGACATGTAGTCCTTCATCTCACATTTAATTCATTTACATATCTGATATAATTCAATTTTTTTTTAATCAAAATTTCCGTCAAATATGTGATTTCCATTTATTGATGTAAATGACGCTCACCGTTCAAAGCGAACAGCCCGGATCGGCAGGTAATGCAGTGGTTCTCCGCCGTACCGTTGCAGGTCTCGCAGGTAGCGTGGCACGGAGCGCAACTGTAATCTTGAGTCTCGTATGTATACGGAGGACACGCGGCGTAACATTTGTTCTCATGCATCACCAAGTGATGCTCGCAACTGGTGCACTTGTCCGGTCTGTCTTGACAGCTGGCACAATTGGCCTCGCAGGGCACGCACGTGCTGTTTTCGGTATCTGTGCAGGAAAATGTGAAAGAAAAATTGTGCGTTAAATCATTCGATTTCATAGGAAAGAGATCGCGATTGATAAATCGATTAACGTACTTTCATAATAGCCTTCTGGGCATTGTTGAAGGCAGACCGCTAGATCGATGACTCGAAGATGAGCGGGCGCGCAGGAGAGACAAGAGTCCTGACCTGCGCCCGCGCAAATTTCACAGGATTCATGGCAAGGCCAACAGACACCACCCTGATTGGGGAAGCTCCTTGGTGGGCAGCGACTGACGCAAGTGCTGAAAAAGAAAAAAAAGACACCCCTCGCGTTGTTTCTCAAACGATTTTTCGTTGAGGAGGGTCAAACGAAGAGAAAAGATATAAAATGAAAATTTACGGATGCATTGAGAATTGAGAGAGCTCTTATTGCGCGTAAGAAATAAATTATAGAGTGATTAAAAAAGAAGTTTAACACGTAAAAAAATATATGAATATTCAATATGATAAATTACCATCTGCTCTCTTAATATCAAGTAGTTTTATACTGGAATGTGCCTACCGTAGTAATCCATAGTTTCGTAGCGTTGTATAAAATTGTTTTGCGTTTCATTAGTCTCATGAAGATACCACAACTAGTGCATAAATTTCGATAACAGCTATATTTAAGATTAAATTTAAAGTGTCATAGATCTCTGTGAGAATGAAACACTTATTAAATATATACCCATCCGATATTCCGTAAATGATTTTAAGAATCTCAGCGAATACGCTAAAAAGCTCGAATTGTATAAACTGTATCTTTTCATCGACGAAAGTAAGGCGATTGTTTCATGCAAGAATTCGAAGCGTTCATCTACTCACTTGTCAAGACGATAATTCTTACAAGCGATGCACTGAGTCGGACCTTTGCCGTAACAACCTTGCGCGTCGCACTGAGGATCACAGTCGTGCAGTATCCTTCTGGTAGTATCGAGAGAACCGTCCATTTGCGCGGATGACGCCGCCGAGGGTGAATCGAAGGCGGCCGCCGAAGAGACATCGCCAGGTAGGTGATTCGTCAGGATCGGCGCCGATGAACCGTCCAAGGTAGCCACCGATGCCTGTAGATTCGACGCGGCGCCTGCATACGGGCCTTGGTAATTCTGAAAGGTAGACGTAGAAAAGAAGTCGCTATTGCCCGGATAGCCGGACAGTTGCGGATCATCGTCTACCGTGAACGGATAATGCACGGAATGGGAAGGAAGGAACGTGGAATGTACCGGATTAAATTGCCGCGTGCGTAACCGGATCGGGTTCGTCGACGTGCCATAGAAGATCAGCTGCCACTTCTTCAGGATGCCTGCAACAAAATTGAGACGATCGAGATTATGTCAGGAACGCCGGGAGTGAAAAAGATCGAGTCAATCGTAATTGACTTGATTATTAAAAATAATGCAAATCGAAAATTTAATATCGGAGAAGAAAGAAGAGGATTATTGTAAAAAAATTATATTTCTAGAATTTGAAGAGTAATGAATATTGATAGAAAAGTTTCATAACAATTATTTTACTTTGCAAATAAACGCGCGTCGAAATCAATGAAGAAATTAAATTGAGCTTGCCTGGTGAATTGACGTGTCGGTTTCCGGCATTAATGATCTGCAGGGTCCATCGGCCATCCGCTTTCTCGCCCCAAAAATGCACACTGAGGAAGGGCCAATCGTCGAAGTTAGAACTGAGAACGTCGCGTGGTCGCTCGAACAATAGGGTCGAGGTTGTGCCCATCGGGGAAGTCAGTAAGAGCCTTAAGTTTCCTCGAGGGAAAAACCTTAGAGAAACCTGTTTTACGACAAACAATTCAAATTTTATTCATACTTTCATAATATTCGAAGTTCTTTTGACACGATTCTAACTTGACGCATCAAATTGGCAAATATTGATTTTAATATGCTCGAGCTATCCTAATTATTCTTAGAGAATCAATTTTTTTAATCTTCTTTAAGTAGAAGACTAATCCTAAAGAGAAATGAAGTAAATCAGAAAACGTTGACAACACTGAGAAAAATCTTGAAATTTCTTCGCGAAAATAATTTAGTGAAAGAGAGAGAATACAGAATTTTACAAAAAAAAAAATACAGGAAGCTTCAACTGTATAAAATATATTTTCCAAGAATTAAATAGTTACTTATAACCCTCTGGACTAAATATTAGGTATCCAAGTATTCTAAATAAATATTTTTACACTTAATAAATTATTGTGTGGTAACTAAATAATATAGATATTAAGAACAATACTTTAATAACAATTATATAGAATAATTACTAAATAGTAGATACATTAAAATATCTATTATTGCATTACATAACTATGTTAAAAATAGACGACCTATTTCCTGCGCGTAATCTTACCTTGCACTGCACATGCTCCAAGAACCGCACTTCGTTCAAGGACCCGGCGCATCCGGTGACGTCCATGTACACGCTCAAGGTGTAACCGTACGTAGGATCAATCGGTCTCTCCTCATTGATCTCGTCGGACTTGCAAATGTGCTGCGGCGGCACATTGGTCCACTGTTCGGCCAGACTGACCATGGCGCCCGCGTCCATCAAACCGTAGCCGAACTTGTGGGAGACCTTCCTCTTCACACCGTTCAGTATCCAACCGGGCTCGTTGCTCAGCGGTTCTGACCGCGAGGTGAGCACCACTAGGTATTGCATATCGCGCCACGTTAGAGTCGGGTTCGCCTCGAGAGCGAGGGCAGCGATACCGGCGGCCAGAGGCGCCGAGGCAGATGTTCCGGTGTGCTCCACCGTGCAGATGTGATCCGGACGCAGCTTCGCGTCCATGTCCACGGTGGCGACGCTCTTGTCATTGCCGGGCGTGCCCGACGAATATGTGGACGCCAAGGTGGAACTGCATTCTTCGAGGTACCAGGGCTTGTAGCCGCCCTGGGTCGCGCTTGATATCGAAAGGGTGAATATGCTGTTCGTGTAGCCGTCGCAGTTGCACGAGTCGGTATGCCGACCTCCGTTGCCCGATGCCCAGACGAAGATCGAGCCCTTGCCCTTGCGACCCTGCGTGGGAAGAAAGAACATTGTCGCGGATGTGCGTTGACAGCGAGGAAATGAACCGCGCGACCAACGAAGCGATAGGATCTTTATATTTTTTTAAAGTAACAAAACAAAGATATAAATAATATAAATTTATATATAATGTATAAGTTATATAATCACAATTTATAGGATATATATTAAGAAAATCATGTGTGAAAAGTTGCGAATCGAATGATGAGAAACATCATTCTTTTTATTAGTAGATTTTCATAATTAGAAATATAAATTATATAATGAAATTATATAATGATAATTTAAGAGATATATTTTATTAGGAAGATTATAATGTAAAAAGTTGTAAATCAAACGAAAAAAAAACATTCTTTTTATTATGAGATTTTCATAATTAGAAATATTCCATTACCGTGAAATAATAAAACTGAACATGAGATGAATTTTGTGCCGAAGATATTATTGCAGCCGTATTATTTTAATTAACAATTGTTCCGAAAAATTAAATGCTTTTAAATATATGATAGAGTACGTAAAAAAACTATTTCCTGATATGTTTAATTTGTGAAAGTGAAAATTACAAAGAACAGAAAGAAAGCAATTTGTATGTACAACTTTTCTCGAGGCGAATCAAGAATTATTTTACAATCAAAAAAATAATTTGTCATAAAATTGAAAAGGAATTTATTTATTTATTTATTTATTCTCAATTTTGTCAATAAATATTTATATCTCGTGAAATAATATTCCAACTATTCTGTTATCAATTCGACGTAAAAACCGTAATATCACTCTCTGCAAATATCCTCGCCTACATAATTGATATAATAATTTTATTTTATGTCATCGCGACATTAACGTAACGTCGGCAAAAAGAAGGTCGCCTCTAAATCGTCCCGAAGTAATGGAATAAAATGTCGGGATGAAAGCTCGCGACAGAAAATAAATTGATCCTCTCGCTTCGTGTACGCGCGGGCGCGCGCGATATATGTGGCTTACGCTCGTCACTCCGTAAATAAACGCCCTCCTGGCGAGCGGGCCTGGACCGTCGACGGTCTTGCCGTCGTCCTCGGGACCCCAAGAGGCGCTGTATATGTCGATGTGATCAGGATTCAATCCCAGCGCTCTGGCCTCGACAGCGTCGTTTACCGGGCCATCGAGCATTCGCACGCCTGAGAACACGAGAGATATGTGCGTAAGTCTTGCTTTCCCTCCCTTTCTCTGTATTTTTCTCCTTCTAGCGTGCCGCGATTTTAAATTACGATAATATCCTCGTGTGTGGGAGTCTATAGATTGTTATCGATCTTAAGGATAATCGAGACTAGCAAGCGTTCGGAATATAAAGAGGAAGACGCAAAATTATGCTTAAGTTTTCGGTCCAGCATTAATTTAATCATCTTTCAGATTTCTGATTTTTCTTATGTAAGAGTAGAAAAAAAATGTGCGTATATTATATACTTAAATATCACAAAAAAGTTCATCGGCTGATAATGACAGCTTCAGAGCATCTAAATGTTTGACAGCTGAAATAATCGTGCTTTCGCCAATCACAGTTTAATATGAGCTATTATAAATTCTATGTCTCTTATGTTTTTAAATAGCTAAATCTCTTCATAATATATATTAAATATATTTAATGTTTTCTAATTATTTATATATAATTAATTGAATGTCTCCATACATGCCGGCTGTCAATATGTCTGTTCACCGTCTGCTTAAAGTCTGCATAAATATTAGCAAATAATCTTTAATGAAAAGTTTCAATTAACTTACACTAAATATTTCACTTTCATAACTATTTAATAAATAAGATAAATTAAAATTGAAGCTTGATTGAGATAATTTGAAAGAAAAATAATCAGCAAATATTTTTCTCGCGTTATTCAACCTTTGCAAAAATATCTCGTCAGCAGACGACGATCTTGATTACATCCACTTTGCATTATTACCGTCGCGTCTCGCGACTTTGACGAAATTTCTCGCCGCTTCCTCTATATCGGAATTTCTAATTTCGCTGCGCGGCACGCTTACACGACCATCAATTGCTTGAATTCAATACTGAGAGATCCGGTTAACCCCCTTGTATCGTTACGCGCTATCGTTTCTGCCCCGACAGCTTACGGACGTTCGTTCCGTTTCGAAGTGGGTTAACGGAATTAATACAGCTCGATAGCATCGAGAAAGCGGGAATAGCCGGCGAACGACCGGAAAACGTGGCCTATTCTTCAGCGGGTTTCGAGACGATAAAGCGACCGCTACCAGGCCTGACATTTCCAGCGGCCGCTGCACTATTTATTTCCGCGAAACGATTCGCGCCAGCTAAGTCAGCGCTGGAACCGTCCCAGAGGATTCGCTCTCACCTGGTATAAAATAAAGATAAATACCGCTTTGGAGAAACAATGAAATCTTCCCTTACTTTGGCATTAACTGATTACGAACATTGACGAGAAACTGTGAAGTTATAAATACTATGTAAATGTAAAATTAAGGACAATTTCAATCAATTACGAACTCGTGACTAGGGTCCATTTTTCTTGGCATAACGATGTGTCTCTAAAATTTTTCCTAGTTTTTTATACACAACATTTTTAGAAATAATTTTAATCATATTATTTCGTAATTATTATCGAAAATAAATGCCATTGGTAAATATACATAATTTGCAGCGCATCAAGATATTATACGGCAAACTTACTAAGTATATCAATGTCGAAAATACTCAGGATATTGGACTTTCTATTAGTTTGAATATTAAATAAATGTTCTTGTACATCTTTATATACATAATCCGGATGGATTAAGTGTATCGTTAATATTTGTACTCGTTGAAATGCACGAGCACCAGCTCATCTCGTCCAATATTAACATCCTTGGATAATTACTCATCCTCTCATATTTCCACAAAATTCGTTAAGACATAAAACAACTCTACCAATTTCTAGTTTACCAAACGCAGGAATATAGTATAAGGAAAAGAAAATATTAATCTATTATACGTTATCCCAACTAAAGCACTACTCAATTTTCACATTTTCTCTACGATGATATGGGAGCGTTCTCTTTAATTTAGAATAATAATCCAATCTTCATATTACTCTAACAGCAATCCTGTATTAGCAATTCGTTATCTTTCTTTTTAGATTATAATCCGAGATTATAACGAAAATTGGAAAATTGTTAACCAGGATTATAATACTAATCAACATTGATGCACCGGATTAAAACATATCAGAGAATTAAAGCGATCAGAGATATTGGAAGAGAAGGCATTTCATTCATAAATTTTACAGAATTATCAGCGATATGTTTCCGAAAAATATCGATACTTATATTTCAACCTAAAATAAACTGCCTAATTAATTTATCATTGATCACTTTCATTCATCATTTATATCTAGACTATTATATATATCTGTATAGTTTCTTTAAAGCAAATTTCTCCCATTATTCTTCTTTGTTATTCAAAATAAATTTCTTTGGTTAATATTAAATACTTTTAAAATATTAATATTAATTATTAATATATGGATAAAAATATTTTAACGATGACATCTATAATTAACAAACGGTTATTAACGAGTCCAAAATAAATAAAGATATTATAAGGCGCGCCTTTTTAAACCCAATTATTCCTATTTTCTCTCCTTGCAATTTCTCTTACCTCCGATACTGGCATTGTAAGCGACACCGACACCGCAATACTGGTTAAAGGCAACGGCGGCGACCTCGCCGGCACATCGAGTGCCATGCTTGTTGTCACCGTTATCCCTCGGCATCGGATCGTCGTCGTTGTCGTTGATGTCCGTGCTGGCCTGGTGATCATAGTTGAGCGCCAGATCAGGATGGTTGGTCTGAATACCGTCGTCGAGGATCGAAACGACGACACCCTTGCCGGTATAGCCCTTCTGCCAAGCCGGACCGAGATTCATGTCGTAGCCGTCTTTGGCACCGCCGTTCTACGATAACGAAACGTCAAGTTTGACTAAATCAGAAGAAAGAGTTTTACGTTTCTTTTTTAATGTAGAAACTATGCCAAAATTTCTATCTGTTTGTAAAGATCTGTTATAAAAATTTATAAGACACTTTTTGATATGAAGATCCATTCCAAGTTAGAAAACGATATATACACGGGAAAAAAATTAGCTATCATAGCTAAATTTTAGCTGCCCATATATTACACATGAAATTTAGTTATCATGCTTAAATTTTAGCTATGACAACTAATATTTTTTAGCTATAACATTCTCCGTTAAACTATGGCTAAAAAATATTAGTTACCATAGCTAAAATTTAGGCACGATAACTAAATTTCAGGTTGTAATATATGGACAGCTAAAATTTAGCTATGGTAGCTAATTCTTTTTTTCCGTGAACGAAATTAAGTCGGGATTGGTATAAAATATACTATCTGTTTTTCATTATTTAAATTTTTTCAAAATATCTTGACATATTGAATATCTTTCTATAATATACAGATGTCTTTTATTGACTGATTTATGAAGATTTGAAATTGCTTTTACATCCTTGATACGATTTAAAATCTGTGGAATCGCAAGCACGCTTTAAAAAACTTTCAACAAGATTAAGTAGGGAGAGATTCGTAAAATATATGCTTCATCTGTTTTTAATTATTTAAATTTTAAAAATGTCTTGGCATATTAAATATCTTTCTAAAAAAATAATAAATAAATTTATTTTAGGAAAAAAATACAGGACTTAAAATATTTAGCATTCTAAGAAGAAATCCGTAGAATCTATTTCTACTTTTAGATAAATAGAAATTAAATTTAGTCTTAATTAAAATCTTAAAATTAGTTGGGAAAATTAATTAGGAAATTTCAAGATTAATTTTTAATTTCCTTTAAATTTTTAATTTGCTTTAAAGGGAATTCGATTGGTTTAAATATAAATTTTATTATATCTCCATAAACGTAAAAAATTCCGATATTGTATTGTGAAAAATATTTCTCAATTTAGCCAAAGAGCATGATGATAAATCGTGTACGGAAACGGTACATGATTCTTTGACAGGTATTAATTCGCGAATTTCATGTTGCCACGTATGTGACCGTTGATTGATATTCTAGTAATCCGCGATGTAACGCTATACATCTTCACATGCGTGTATACGATTTCGTGGATTAATGGATTACTAGCCACACGACAAATTCGAATGTTACAATTTTCATAGCGGTGATATGCGTTATACAAGTAGACAAAATTGCAGATGTCTTCACTGTCATTTTTCTGCCTCGTATTAATTTTTCTTCCTTTTAATATACATTTAAAGTATAAAAAAAAATGTATGTATCTATAGTATAAATAATGTATAAAATTAATAGGCAATATAAACGTAAAAAAGAAATTAATTCCAGTTTTGAAAAGTTATAATTTTTATCTGGGATTTTTAGCTCGCAAAATGCTATATATCGCGGCTTACATAAAAATATCGACCGTATTAGAATTCCATACAAATTTTGACAGAGCCATTAGCTTTTCCTCCGACATCGCTATTGGTGGCCACCTAAAAGTTATATATTGGCCGGAAAAAAATATATGCTGGACACGAACCGTCGGACGATTTCCAGCCACGTGATTTGTATCCTCTAACAAACGTCCGTTTTATGCATTTATAATGGATTGATTATTGCTTCGGCTATACGGGCGGTATTTTGCATTTTGCGTCATGAATTTGCGTAATAAATGTACGGTATATATGGAAATACGCGAATGTTTCGCACGTGTTTTCATGGCAAACGCGCGAGTGCGTATGATCATCTCGAATCACGACGAAAAAAAAAAGTTCAACGACACCAACGCGATAAATTCGTGCGTGCGTAGAATGATTATTTGCCGGGCTCTCGTAAATTAACCATCAGAAGGGATGAGCAATCAAGGATCGTAAAAGAGTGTGACAAACATATTAATCCCGGATAAATTGAATAATTTATCATTTTAATTGACACGAAATATACTTGTATATTTGCAGTTAAAATAATCACTATATATATAGTTGAAAAAATAATGATTCTACAATTACATATAAGAACAACAGATTTCAATAAAGTTTAAAGTTTCGAAATAATCCAAGGCGTTGCAAAGAAATAAAGAAGAATCTTAGGATTAACTCTCTTCAAAGCGCATATTTTATATTCCGCGCAATTTTTATCAAAATAAAAGAAGATGCTATAAAAAATTGCACAGTGTACAAAGAATCCGCGAGACCCAGTTCTGATTATCGCACACGTAGAATTGCGCGTTTTTGTCCTTGCTCTCCGAGAATAATCTTGGGCTCGTATCTTCCGATGGGGACCAGCGTATCCAGCGTTTCCCGTTTTCCAGCACATGTGCACGAATATACGCGAGTAGTAGAGTAAAACACTTTCGCGGAGTGCATCGCAAAGCGCAAAAACACGAGGCTGTTCTCTAATCTCTACGACTACCAGTGTGTTCTTCCGTAGGATATCAAAAAGAGGTAGTAGAATAGAGATACGTAAAAATGCATGACTCATATGTTGCAACAAAGTTTGCTGTTCTGTTTATTAATCCTATTTGTTTCGAAAAATTCTTCCGCGCAATATACGCAATATTATTTATTGAAAAACCATACAAATAATATATATATATATTTTTTGTAATAAAATAGATAAATAAGAATATTTGAAACCATAAATTAAAGAATCAAGTTTTACTTACATCTATAAATTAAAAATTTATCGATTGATTTAAATTAGCAACATTTGAACGAATGATTTTTAAAAATTCTCAAAGAAATCTTTTTCAACGATAACAATAGATGCTAAATAGAAAAAATATATATATAAATACTTGGGAAACTTCAAAGTAAAAAATGTCACTTCTTCGCGCGAAATAGAGGAGAATGTCGCGAGAAATTCGCAATTCAGAAAAGTTGAACCTGGAGAAAATATTCGTGAAATCTAACGCTTCGAACTATATCGCACACGCAGTGCGCATGTAAAGGAACACGTTTCCCTTGATTCCGGCTCTTGTACGTTACGCCCGTAGCTTGTCGGAGATCAGAGGACGAGGCGGACGCGTGTTTCTTGTCGCGGAGAAAGAGAGAGAGAGGTCGCAACGAGGGAATGTGCCAATCTCCGCGTCGATGCACCTTTCCCGGCTGTTGCCGCTCTTTTTTTGCTCGTCTATTTCGGAGCCGGGCGCCGCATGACGGTACCCGGGCTCCGTTTCCCCTGCGATTCCATTAACTAGATTGCGTATTGTCGTGCTCGCCCGAGAGGAAGGTCGGAGGCATCGATGCATGTCCCCCGTGTCAGCGCTTATCTGCGCTGAGATTTCGACACTGCGAGAGCACGAAAGAGAGAGAGAGAGAGCGCGAGCGCGGGCGAATACTCGAAAGTGCAACGAGAATGCAACGGGATCAGAAAAATAGCTCGATGGCCCAAAGAAAAGGAGAAGGAGAGAGCCGTCACCGGAGGGAATGAATTACCTAACTCTCTACCTTGTTGTTACAACGAAGGAACCGTCAACATCCGACTCTGTATCGACTTAAATCGTTGGTGTTTGATGGAAGACCCTTTATCTCATTTTACTTCGCTTTACTCTAATGAGAATTTTTTTTAGAAAATTGGATTCGTGTACTTTTCGCACGATAATTGCAAGAAATCAATTCTTGTGTCTTATATGCACAAATTTTGAAATTAAATATGATTTTAAAAATTTAGCCAAGAAAATTATTTATTTGATTTAGTAGATGTTCAATAATTTTTTTTTCGCTAGCATTTTTTAGGTGCACGATTAGGAATATTTCGTGTAAGCATACAAAGAGAAAATTTTCTCTTAGAATTTACCCTGAAAATCATTATTATCGTGGGACAATATGGTATATTGGAAGAATTTTTATAAGAATTCTCTGATTAATATTTATCACAATAAGGCATAAAATATCTTCGATTAATTTTGCTATGTACATATTAATATTTTTTGTCGTAGTAAATATTAATCCGACAAACTCTTATAAAATTCTTATTATTGTTCCACGATACCATGATTTTCAGGGTAAATTCTACGCGAAAATTCTCTCCGTGTATAATCAAAAATTGAACAGACCGAAATAAGATTTCATTCATGCACAATCAGTGATTCAATTAAACTCATTTGCTCTTGACATCTAATAATAATTTATAAACATTTTTAGACACAAGATATACACACATTTATTAATCTCTTTCTAAATTATTATCATTCATGCACAATCAGTGATTCAATTAAACTCATTTGCTCTTGACATCTAATAATAATTTATAAACATTTTTAGACACAAGATATACACACATTTATTAATCTCTTTCTAAATTATTATCATTCATGCACAATCAGTGATTCAATTAAACTCATTTGCTCTTGACATCTAATAATAATTTATAAACATTTTTAGACACAAAATGTACACACATTTATTAATCTCTTTCTAAATTATAAATGAATTTTGTAGCGTATGTAAAGATAAATAAAAAAAAAAAAAAAAAAATTGCAGGAGAGATTTCAGAAACTGCACGTCTCTGATAAAATAATTACATTATCTGCTTTATTACGAGAGATACGTAGAATCGTTTGAGAGAGATTCCTGATTGTGCCTCGCTCTTCTCTACAATACGCGCGCATCGTGGATCCCTCGGCTGCTTCTTTCTCTCGGACGAGCCGACGAGGGCAAAATTATCCAGCAAGAACCGCCAAATTTACGGGCGCCGCGCATAAGAGCGCCGTAATCCCGTCAGCGCAGTACGAAAGGCGTGCGGGATGGGCTCGTGCACACATTGTGGGCGCATATTGTGCCCGGGAAAGACAATATATATACCGACCCCTATTGTCTCGTGCGACGCGTGCGGTCGACGAAAAAAAAAAGAGGGCAAAAAAGACCCCCGAGAATGAGCTGGGGTTACTTCGCTGGCCCAGGCGTCTTCCACGACCCGACAAAAGCGATCTCTCTCCTTCATTTTCATCACGTCCAAATGAGAGCCGTTCCCATCATCATAGACGCAAGAATGTAACAGCACGAAGCATGGGGTTCCCTCCATTTAGAGGCGCGAAATTGACAAAAAAGGATGTCGAAAGCTAAACTCGATTCTAGATCATTGTTCTCTCCTCTTCTTCTTCTATAAAGTTACGACTTTTTGAAAAGAGCAACTAGATAAATTATAAAAGTAACTTATTCTTGTTAGACGAAGCATCGAAAATCGAAATTGAGACGACAGTAATATTGAAAAACAAGTTTTATATTTAATGTTTTTTTTGTTAAAAAATTTCTTTCTACTTTTCTTTTATTTGAATTTTTCAAATACTTCTTTTCTCTTGATAATCCTGCATCGTATTACAATTTTACTCAAAGTATAAGAATAAAATAAAATATCTACTTGAATGATACTCTCATATGCTGGAGACGTGGGCGATAAGTCTGAATATCGGATTCCATTTATTCCGACCTCGTTTTTCCATTATCACAACCACATATCGCCTACATAGTTGAATGAATAAATAACGCTGGCATTTAAAAGATCATCACCGAGAGCGATGCTAAATTTGGCTAAATTTAAAGCAACAGTTAAAAAAATTTCGATTCTATGCGTACAGAATAATCGAATATGGAATAACATTAATTGATCCCATACACGTCCGTCGCGAAATAGAATTTGAAATTCGAATATTATTATTTATTTATTTATTCGCTTCTGAGTATTTCTCTATGTCAATTCTTATTTTCAGAGAGTATCGATATCGCGATACGGAGAGGTATCAGAACTGATTCCTCAGCTTACGTAAACTCTGGTTGCCTATCGCACTTCGGGCGATGCTCCGGGCGCGTCACGAATATTACACACCCCGTGCTTTTATCCCGCAATAGTGGTTTCCGTACCCGAGAGTATCGGCATACTTGGGCATCATCCTCTCTAAATAAAAGGCTTCAGGTATCGGGCTTTGCCAGACCTCAAGTTTCATACCGCGCGTTATCACGCCCATTACGCAAGATCGCAATCTTACGTTCTTCCCATTCTCAAGAGCTCTTTAAACATATTTTTATGAACGCGTTGTCGCGCAAAATAAATTTCTCCTCTTTGTCCTCCATTTATTCCCCACATTTTTTCGACAACCAGTTATATATATTTTCGCATTCAATACTGATTCTGAGGTCTTATAAAACTGAAGAGAAAATATTTAAGGTATATCTTGGATTTTTCTGACACTTCTTACCATTTATCAATGTTTTCATTTATTTTATTTATTTCTGAGCGTGGAAAATTTGACTGCGCATTATCTTCTTTACACATTTATCTTTAAACAACTAAACCCCAAATTAACTTGAGATTAAATAAGAATAAGATTTCCCGTAAAAGACCAAAGTGATTAATCACTCGAAACGATCATCTATAGCTGTTCGCAAGACTGAGCAATGTTCGTTGTGTTCGCCAATAAAAGTAACTTGAGAATTAGAAACAGGACACTCTGATATAATCGAGAACTCAGCAAAGAACTTAGGCCGAGACCGAAGTCTCGGAAACAGAAAAGTTTCCACCGGATCGGACGGAGTCTGCCAAAAGCTAGTTGCTCACTTCCGTTGTTTTACGCCGCCGTTCCGGATGGCACGCGGGTGACTGCACACTATAAACCGCTTACAACACTAAGAAAACATGTGTACGGCACAACGGTTCCATTAAGGCACGCTGATCGCGAGAGAACTAAATACAAAGTCCGGACGTGCGATGCACTTGGCGCGCTAAGTGTTGAGATTTATTCTTCATACGAGGAAAAATTTAATTCCGCGCATTTTATCACTTTTCCTTCGCCATAATTAAACTTTTTCTTAAGTTCCAAATTGTATAATTTATACAAAAGAAAATAACAAATAAAACATATGATAAATGATTGATCTGTAACTTTTTCACACAATATTAAAAACTTATTTTATCTAGCATCCCAAAAAATTACTCATCAATATATTCCACATTATTTCAATTATCTTTAATTTATTGCATATTAAGTTTTTTTATTACTTTTACTTTAGGTTTCATATTCGTATGTTGAAATTAAAATGGAAAAAGTTATATGATGACAAAATTCTGTCAATCAGAAATGGAATCTATAATATTTTAAAAAATTTTATATCACGCATGTTAAAATTATAATTATATAAATTATTTTCATATATATTAATTAGAACTGAAAATTTATCGTCTTTGACAGTTTCTATAAATGTATATTTCTTATATTGTAGACAAAAGGAGACATCATTTATAATTTATAATTTAATTACAAATAACAAAGTAATTTCACTATACCTTTAACGATTTAATAAGGTAACACTTTAAGTCTAGAATGTGTCAGAGTAATTAATCTAGGGGTTAATTTGAAGCTATTAAACCACACGACCGAAAAAAACGAACAGAATAGAGACAAAGCGAAAGAGATTTAAACCCTAAACGTGTTGTTCTCGATAATCTCGTCATTAATCGATTCAACGGCTCTCGTTCAATAAGATCGTATTAGTTGCGACTGATAATGATCGGATAACAAACAAATTGATTGTCTGTTTGCATAAAGCCCAAGTAATTATCCTAATAATTGTTTACACACCCACAATTATACGAGTGATGTTTTGCACGGGATACCTACTTTGTTTTAAGAGCGTATCGAACCGTAACAAAAGCTATTACATGTTATATCTCGTATTAACAACAAGATACGTCATAATTTATCGAACCTACAACTAATAAATTATACGCAACTAACTCACGTCGAGACGTCGAAGTAAAAAATAGTTTATTTTATGTATTCAAATTAAATGAATAATTAACGCTACAATAATTAAGGATAACTGACAATAATTTTGTCAGAGTTAGATCGACGAAGATGACGTGAAAAAATACGAAATATTCTTTATTCTACTATAATCATTATACATCGTCAATTATGATTTTTAATTAACGCAAACAATTTAATATGATATATTACATATATATTTCTCTTATGTATTCCGATCGACTTTTTTGACAAACGGGAGAAGAAATAATCGGAAATGTCAAACGGCTTCGACGCCCCACGTGGTTCGTTCGATTCCCGTCACGTCCGGGAGAGTCCGTACTTACCAGGTACCATTGTTCCTTGAAGAGCGGATCCGTGAACAGGTTTTGAAGCGGCAAGCCCCTGTTTCTTTGGCGATGGAACACGCTAGCCTGCCGCGGACGCGGACCGAAGTCGCTGAAGAAGTGCGGATAATCGAGGAACCCAATGGACGGGTTGCCGAAGTCCCGCTTCTTGCGCTTCTTCTCGTGCTGCTGCTGGAACCAGTGCACCTGCAACCGAAAGCATAACCGGATCTGTAACAACAAGTTTTCTTGCGCGCCCTTGTGATCGACTCCGACGACTTCGTCATCACATTACGAACTTGGATAACTTGGCGAACTGACCCGGGGCCATTAGCCGCCGTTTTGTTATCTCACGTCGTTACACTAAGTTCCACGCGACATTACACGGTAATGTAAACCGGTGGTAACGTCGCAAATTTTCCTAAGTGCCCGGAATATCTCATCAGTGTGTCGTCAGAGCCGGTTTTGTTGGCGGACGAAATATGGCGCGCGCTAATGATGTAAACGAATTATGCGCTACTTAAAAAATGAAAGGCATTTTAATGCCTTTCCTACAGAATTACTCAAATTTCATTGTAAAATTTTGAATATGAGTTGTAAGTTGAATTTATGATTAAACGTATATCTCTTAACGAGATGATAATATTCAGAAATATTAAGGCAATTAAAAAGGCACTCAACATTGATGAGCAAATCTATGATTATATCTATCTATGATTCATATATTTATTATATTTTATTTAATAATTGGAATATTATTTCAAAGAATGTTAGTCGAGATTGTTAAAAGACAAGTGAGAATTGAGAAGAGAAAAAAGGAAGGAAAAATTCTTCTTTTTAAGAACCGATATAAAAGAAAAAATATCGTGCAGCTAGCCATAGCACACGATCGCAGTTTTTCATTCGTTGATTGGTTAAACAGTCATATACACCGGCGCAGTGACACGGAAAATTCACCGATGCAGATTGACTCAATCGAGGATCATAAATCGTACAATCACCGAAAAACGCTTCGGGGAACGAGCTTTAATTCTGGCGCGTGTTGCGTTTCTCTCTTTTCATTCATATTGCCAGTACTGGTCCAGACACGCAATACGATTCGGTATCGCTGACAGATTCACCGCCCTTGCACATTTTTGGCGAGGCTCCAAATATACGTCAGGCTCAAACGAATTAGTTTCACGGTCGTATCGAAAGTGGAGCACACATTACAGGAATTTTAGAATATCCGACACAGGACGATGAGTGTAAGAAAGGAATTTGGTACATATGTTGTTCTACAGCGATTATCGAACATTCCAAAAGTCCCCTAAAATTAAACGATTATGGGACAGTCGTGTAGTAAAATATTAGTAACAGATGTTGCTATCTTCTCTTATGAATTATAAACAGTTTTGTAATTGAGAAAAAAATTCTAAATGCAAAAAGCACCATGATCTATTTTTAATAAGGCTGATATATCATGTGTATTCAAAACTTTAATTTTGATTTTTAATTTTAGTTTGGTTGAAATAATAAATATTAATTTTATCATATTGAATTCTAATTAATATAGAATAATAATATGCCAGAATAGAATAACAATATTTTAAAAACGTGAAAAATAAATTTAACATGATTTCGAGATCTTATATTTTTCATATTCAAATTATCGCTTAATCGGATAAACAACACGATAAGTATAATAATCATTGTAATAATTAATATACCAGTATAGAATGTTAAAAAATTGTTAAAAAATTTGAGAAGTAAATTTAAAATAATTTCGATCTTATTATACGAGTTACATTTTTCATACATATCCATATTATCGTTTAATCGGATAAACAACACTCATCTTGTTGTTTACTCAATTAAATAATTCAAATCGTCGAATCATTTATTTTGCAACCATCAAAGTTCATAAAGTTATCACTATTTGATTAGACGTAAAATTTCTTTGTGATAACAATAACAATTTACTTCCGACATAAATCACTATTGAATATCTTGGTGAAAGTAATAGAGAGAAATATCTAATGAAACTTATCTCTATTATCTGAAATTTTAACTTTCAAACTTAGACAGTCTGTTTGATAATAGCGAAAGTTGTGAAATCGAAAGTGAAAACACGAACACGAAGAATCCTTGATTTACTTTCCTGCAGTTTTCCGATTTCGTAATATTTTTTAGATACTCGCATAAAGGAATTGCGCTATTAAAAAAAAAAAAAAAAAAAAAAAATTAAGAGAAATTAAATAACTCCAAACATATAGAATTCGTTCATTCGAGTTGCACGATATTTTTCCAAAGAGTAAGCAAGTAAAAATAAAACGCTCTTTTTTTTTTAACGAACAATTAAGCGGTTAATTAAGCGTGCTGCACAATTAATAAGCAGCCAGTCACGATCGCTCCCAGGGAAAACGAGAGAGATTTCCCGGTCACGTATCCGTGGCTTCGTCAGCCATAAATCTCGACGATCTCTGAGCGCGTTCGGAAAAAAATGTATCTCTTGCGCGGAAGTTACCTCCGCACATCCACCTCGTGCAAATGGCATTTTCCTCCGCGATCACGTGCTCTCGGAGCGTAGCTCATAATTAATGCTATATCGCGTCCCCTGTGTGCATGTGAAGAACTGCATTACTTTTTCTCTTTCTCTCGCTCTCTTCCCTTTTTTTTTTTTTTTTTTTTATTCGACGCGATATTTTTCCGACCATTTTGCCTGCTGCCCTTCCGCACCGCAATTTTCATCCACGCTGAGAAGAAGCTTATCGAGACGAGGACAATGGCGGAAAACGCGGCGACGACAATATTGTCTCTCGAAACAGTGAGATATTTTGCCACGTTCTCGTGAGAGCACGGGACGACGAGGCTTCTCCGAGAGTGCACTTAAAGCGTCCACCAGGTATTTCCCGCGCGAATACTAAGGTGAAATTATAGTGAAAAATGCAAAAAAAAATCCGCAGGCAATGCAGAATTTCATAAATAATTTTTATGATTTTATAATAGATTTATATGTACATTCTATCGTCGTAAAAAATATAATAATCTGAATAAATCTTATACTATGCGCACAAGAACCCTTAAAAAATTATTAATTTAAAATACCTTACTGCCGCGAATGAAATATTCCGCTTCTCTTTGTCACAGAATTATAAAACAATTTTCTGTTTCTAGATTTTTACAGTATGCCGAAACTCCGACGTTTGTTACAACGGCAAAATTTAGATTTAGAGCCAAACAATAGAATACATTTATAGTCAATCAAAAAGAAAGAAATATTTTGCAATGTTTTGTGAGGTATACTACTGTTATCACTAAATATTCTATCGCAGCAACACAGAATATTCAGCGACAGAAAACTGGATGCAAACTGGGAAATAACTTTTTAAAAGTACAAGAAACTACATATCGAAAAAAAAGCGATATTTTTATGACGGGACTATTTAAACAAACACACATTGTATATAGCTTTTTCTCAAAATATGCCAGCACAAAACTCGACTTTTCTATCATCGATTCTGTCAACTTTTTTCAATGCTGTTCCGAAAATAAAATAACACTTTTTTTCAGTACTATATTAAAAGTCACGCGATTAAAATAACAAGTGAAGCGAAATAGAATTAATATTTTTAGAAAAGGATATTTTTATTCCATATCTAAGAATTGAGTAAGGCAATCTTCACACACAGACCTGAGATAAATCTATATCGGTAACTCTAAAACCAGCGCGTCCTATCTCTTTGAATATAAAGCAAAATGTGTTCTCCGAGTTTGATAACAAGCGTCTTAACTTAGCAGAGTACAAAGATACGTCGACTTACCCGCGATTCATCCCTGAGCGCCTTATGATGCGGTTCGCTCGCAGTGAGAGACCTCTTGTGCAGTCGCTTATGCGAGAAGAGGTAATAATTCTTCAGGGCACCGATCTGAAATCAAAAAGCGAGGCATCCTTATTATCTCCGATTCGAGTGCGGTTGGAGCCTCAGAGAGGTTAAAGCAGCCATCGCGCGAACGTAAACACGAGATGGTAAACTCGCAAGTTTCCCTCTCACGGATTGCGTTTCGATGGTTTTGTGTGACTCGATATCGTTTTGACTGAAGTTTGCTAGTAACTTCCTCGAAGTGCCGTTCCTGAATTTATATGGTAAGACTCGCTAAATCCCGTCTACACATTCATCTGTGTTTTTCTATGCGGACGATGTATGTGTGTTCGCTCATCCTTTTGCGCAATGATAGACGAATATATAATCACCACTAGCGGATACACAAAAATGATCTCTCTTTTATTATTTGTACAAAAAATTATATTAAAAATTATGTATTATAGTGTTTAGATAATATTGCATTTGTACGAGATTATTTGTAAAAATATTATTTATTTGTTATGTTAAAATGTTGGCCGAGGGTGCGCAATATGCTTTATTCTAGTTGAATAATATTAAGAATATGAATTCAGTTTTCATCAGAGCGTTAACAAGATTAATGAGCACACCAAGAGCCCAGCGGTGTTGATTGAGATACAATAGTTGATTTTTCAGCTGGCGGTTGTCGACAGCTTTAGCATCAAAGGCTTTTGTTTCAGGATTTAACGGCCAGAGGAAGTTGCTAAATCCAAAATCAACATTAATGAACGACATGCACGCGATATTGACTGCCATTTTGGAAGTTTAACGCGATCCAGAGAGATAATTGGCAGCTTATTGGACGGCGGACGGTTATAATTATGTCTATATGTACGCGCCACACGAATAGAGTAGCGTTTCAGTTTGGCGGTCGATGAAAATGATTGTCGATAATTCTAGGTGCAGCGCGAGCCACGCTCCAATAACGCTGCACACACATATATATCGAGAATAACTAATAAACTATTCCGATCGGCGATCTGATATTTGGACATCGTGAACCTTAATTAAATCAACGGGCATTTTCCCAGAATTAGTTTTAGAGTGAATTTAGGGAACGTTAGGACCAACGATATTGGATTTTACTTTCGCCCACTTACTCCGATTATTATATATTTTCTATAAAAAATTATTCAATATATTTTTCAGAGGAGACTAATTTGTTTCTTTTTTTTTAATTCAGGGACTTTAAAAACAAAAGTCCAATATCGCTTCTCTATTCTAATTAGTAAAAAAAAATATTAAAAAAATCTATTTCGCATTGTGAATAATGCCGTATATAGAAGTGCATTATGTAAACAATGTCCATGCACATGTCTACGATTTACCGGGGCACGACTCTCACATTACTTCGATATTCTCCGACACTTGGAGAAGAAGTTGTAGAGGATGCAGAGGTAACCCGACTCTCTTCTACCCCGAAATGGCGTAACTTTCGACGGGATTTTCCTAACGGGAACGAAAATCAAGCAAAACTGCATCGCCCCGCGAAGTAGAATCACTTCCCGAAGCTGTTTTTACGCCGTTGATGCTTTACACGTGTCGCCTACTTGAAATTCTTCCGCGGTGCAGCCACCCTCAGGAGCCGCGGCTCGAAAATTGAAGAGCCACGAAGAACTCTGGCGGAACTCGCGAGAGAAAAAAAGGGAGCGCGCGCGCGCGCGCTTTATTTCGCCATCGAGTTTTATCCGAAATTTTCGCGGCAAGCTCGAGACAACTATCTCTCGTCGTCCTCCAGACTTCTCGAAATCTAAGTAGCCGAAGAGTGGCAAAGTGCATCACTTGCTCCTCTCAATCTCGAGTTATCTTTCGTGTGAAAGAGAATTACTTGCCCCAGTTCTTTCACTCTTGCCAATTTTTATCTCTTTAGCAGCAACAGCGTATATATATATTTGGTTTGAGTTTTTATTTCGTTTCGACTTGTGTAAACTTGCATCTCTTTTTTCCAATAAAATCAGTTAAAGTTAAAAAGTAATAAATGATCCGAAACTCGTAAATAATTTCTCCTAACCGGAAATTTCAGTGAATATTTTTCTTTAAAATTCATCAATCATGTCAAATATTATATTATAGAAATCAAAATAATGTTATCTATATATATATATATATATATATATGTACGTGTTAATCAATCAAGGAAATAATAAAGTCCGAAAATTTTTCAATTTTCGACATTAAATATTTTGACGTATTTACAACCTCCAATTTCATCTATAATAAAATTACACGCACGATATAAAATATACCTGAAACTAAATAAATTTGAAAATTTCACTCCTTTTAAATGTGCGTATATAATTTAAATTTTATATTATGAAACTGAGCTTTCAATCACATTTAGAACTCCCGGAGAATATTTTCAATATTTTTATTGACTCGAAAAGCCGTTCAAAAAGTCTCGCTCACGTGAGACGTCAGCTTCAGGGCACGCAGCTTTCATGCAGAAGAACGGCAAAAAGAAAAACAAGATTGTCGCTATCTCTCGAAGATATTCCGTGATAGGACGTGCCTTGCTAGTTTTACTAACGAAGACGAGGATGACGCCGGAAGGCTCGTTCGCATATTTCCCGCGTATTCCGCCGACAATTTTACATCCAACCTATATGCGCAGGGCGCTCCGTGAAGCAAATTTCACAACGGACGGTCAAGAACTCGCTCAAGGGCCTCTCTGCCATTCGAGAGGCGCGGCTAAACGGCGCCCGTCGAAATTCTCGCTTCGAGACTGCACGGGGAATTTTGATAATATTCCCGCGCGCGCGATTATTTCGCCAGCCTGAAAACGAAGCGCTGCCAACGATATTAAACTTGACGGCGATGTGTATCTTCCATAAAATACGCCTCTATTTTGAACTCATACTTGCTTGTAGCTTGTTGTGACTCGGTATCGTAAACAACGGTAATACATAATGAAAAATGATAAAAGTAAATTGAAAAAAGGATATAACTCACGTATAAAATATTTCTTAAATATTATCATGATAAGAAATCGTTGAGTTTAGTCGAGACATTTAAATTAATATTAAATTTGAGCTGATTGAATTTAAATTTAAATTAAATTTAGATCAAACTAATTTTTTCGTCAGATTCTAGGACTGCAAATACATATACATATAATAAATTTGATAAAAGGCTGTTAAGAAAACAGTAAATATAAAAATTCAAATTATGTTAGAAAGTGAAGTCATATATAAAAATAATATTCTTTAATCTAATGTCTAATAATGAATTACAATAAAAGGTGACAAAAAATAATTATACATAAGTACTCTTTAAATATAAATACAAAGCGAACGTTTTGGTCAATATTTTAGAAATTACAATTATAAAAATACAATGATGACATATACATATATTCGGTATAATTCTACGTATTCATCCCCTATAGGTATACATTCCAAACATTCGAATAGAGACGTGAGAATCTTAACGATGCCGATCGAATTGAACCGACAAACTATCTTCCTATTATCGACGATCGAGTATCTGCGAGTTCTCTCCTTCGGAAGGAGGATGACGACATAAATGCGAGGTCACGTCGTCGCTACTAAAAATGACGAAGCACCGAACTTTGACGCGATCTTTTCTTCTATCGCCGTAGATACTCGCAAACTCTCCAGAATAGAGTTTTCCCATGCGTTTGTTACCGGTCGCATGAGTGATAGTCTTCCCCAACCTGCTTCTCCGGCTCTATGTCATCCGCTCCATTAACGCCTTACTTCCAGCTTCCGGCCGAAAGGGCGGTATAAAATAAAGCGAGAAAGACGTCGACGAATTCGAGGTGATTTCCCGCGATTAGCGGAAACTTGAAGAAACTTTCACGAGAACGATCTACCTCTGTAGCGTTCTATTGTCAACAAATTCGCTCAATTCGAAGCAACTTTTATCGTCAGCCCCAACAGCTGGAGACGACGCCAATTAAAACCCCTACAGGACCAATAAGATATTAATATACATATAAAAGGCAATAAGAGCTAATTAAGTTCTGTTATTTTTAACCTTCTTCAGCGCATCATTTAAAATTAAAGATTAAGAAATTAACAATTATTCATAACTGTCAATATACTAAAACTATACAGAAACAGAGTTATTCGCATAAAACTACGTCAAGATATTATTTTTAGAAAAAACGAAATCAACGCATTTTTTAAAAGCTATTCCTCGAATCGTCATTTAATGTAATTGTCCAATAAGATATATTAAACGCTCAATAAAACACTATAAATAATCCAAATCCTCTCCGAGAAGATCGAAAATGAAAATCGAATGCGCTCCAACTCGGGTTTAATCGGTGAGTGCTGATGGCGAGAATGACCACAGCTCCTGCGACTGGCGAAATCCTCGATCCACGTCGACCTTGGCGCTCTTCGGGAAATCCCCTTAAATCCATCCGGAAGCTTAGCTTTTCGGGAAGCGATAGCGCCGCCGTGTTTTCGCTCGCGCTTCGACGCGCCGTCGCCCCTGGGTAAATCCCGATGGGAGATACTCGTCGCGGTGGCTGCGCACAAGCAGGGCAGAGATAAAAAGACGAGAAAATGGATGAGAGTAGGGTGGCAGTGGTGGTGCAGGAAGCCAGCGACGCGCGCTCCCGCGGAACCCGCATAGAGAGGCAGAGCACACAATACGAAGCAATTTATTAATACTCTGGGACTTGGTAGTGCGCCCTCAGGAGCAAACGGCGAAATAGATATGCCAGCGGAGCGAGCGAGTAGGGGCCTGTTACAGGCCTGAACGGAAATGTCAGAACAAAGCGTCCTGTGTACAACGTACGGCGCAATCTGCGAGAAAATTGCGGTATAACGTGGCATGAAAAGACATCGATTGTACCGTAAAATGGAACGTTGCCTTTTATTTAATTTCGAATGTGTGTGTGTGTATAGATCTGGGTTTAATAAAATTGTGATTTACAAGAAAGTTACAAGATATTTTAGAATGCGAAAGAGAAACGGGGGATCGAATAAAAAATTCCGATCGAATTTTACGATTTATGTATACGAATTTGCATTCGCGATTTTATTTGACGAATTAAAGGATTTTAAAATAAATTATGCTTCGACATTTCTTTCTGCTGCGCTCGATCGAGATTGACGCGCGAAAGAATCTGTAAAATTAATCGAAAAGGGAACTTAATTGTAACATCAGGATGATTTCTTCCGGAGTGCTGAGCGCACTTTGACGACGTACTTAAATCCACTTTATTTATCGAGTCGTTCTCGCGGGATTCAGTACGTCATGACGTGAAGTCATAAGATCCAAAGAAGAGATAGTGCGGGCGATTTATCATCCCGATTCTGCAACAAGCTTGTGTTAAGGCTCGTACACACTGAGCTCGTTGTTCTAACGCGTGTACTGAATTATTATTAAAGTCACACGTGAGCACCTGAACTATATCTATAGCTCTCTCTTGATATACCACTTAATTTTCATTTTAAAATATCATTCTTTTTCAATTAAAAATTTAAGTATTATATATACATTTCCATTATTTTACCCCCTTTATTTTTGCTCCCTTGAGCAAACTTGTCCAAGAGACCGGATAAAGCTAAGACATAAGAATTGTCAAACGAATGTATACCTACTATAATTATATGTATATATAATATATAACATCGAATATACATACGTATAAATAAATATATAAATTGATATTTATTTTATTATTAATCTCTCATTCTCCTTCTCTGTTATTAAAACTCTAAATAGCTCTCTAAACTAAGGCAAATATTCACCGCCGACTGTTAACGAATTCTCTTTGCAGC